GGATCTGGCTTCAAAGGCATTTACAGACCAGAGAAAGAAGAAGAGGCTTTTATAAACAAAGTCAAATACATGTGTACATGTACATTTATACTTATATATGATATTTGCACACACATGCACATCCACACACTGAGAGAAAGAGCAAGAAGACAGACCGAGAGGCAGAGAAATGGAATCGAGTGTGAGTCAGGAGAAAGTATGAACAGAGGTGCTGAATTGCTAAGAGATTAGAAACAGGGAATTTCATCAGTTACCTACATTAGACACATGTTTAAGCTACCAGTAATTACAATCATTGTAGAGTTAGTACCTTTTTATTGGCAGAGGGGTAGCCAAGGATTGAACTCAGGGGCACTCAACCACTGAGCCACTCCCCATTCCTATTTTGTATTTTACTTATAGACAAGGTCTCACTGTTGCTTAGCACCTTGCTTTTGTTGAAGCTGGTTGTGAACTCGCAATCCTCCGGCCTCAGCTCCCAATAGTTAGTGCCTTTTGTATACCACAAAATAAATCGAAGTGTTTTCTAAGCACTATTCTGACAAACTCGCAAGTAGATTTCTGTACCTGTATTTTACAGATGAGGAAACTGAGCCTCAAAAGGGTTAACTAACTTGCCCAAGATATCTATGAACAAGGGATAGGGCCTGGACTGGAACTCAGATTTCTCAAGCAATTAAGCCAAAATTTTACTTCATACAGGAGGGGAGAAAAGTCTTAAATGCCTAGGATAAGAAATGATAATGCCCTGAATTACAAACAGGTGCATTCACTAAGCCAAACACCATTGACTAATCATCTCATGTCTCAAGGTCAGGCCTGGACACGCGGCAAGAGCCTGGGTGATGCTCCAGCTCTCAGGGCTCAGAAAACAGCAGTGCAGGAGTTGGACAAGGAAACACAGGCAGGCAGAGGGACAGCCAATGTTTCCTGGGTGGCCAGCCTGGGAAGGTTCCTAGGGACGGCCAAGTCCACGTCTGGCCACATCTTGGGTAACCATGGAAATGAAGCTAAGGGAGATGACCTTCTAGCCAGAAGGCCAGAGGGTTCAGGGCAAGGATGAAGCACAATCTGGTCCAGGAACCACCGGTGATTCAGGATGACTCTGACAGATGCTCTGATATATTGCTGAAGGCTTTCTGGCATTTCTGTTGCAGGCAGGGAAAAAGCTCTGTCATGTCCCAAGGAGGCACCTGCTACTTGCTCAAGATGATTAAGGAAAATTCATCACACAATTCCATACCATCTTTGCCCCTGCAGGAAGTTCTACAATGTGCAGACTGGAATATTCAAGAAAGGCTTTGAATCTGTGGGAAGGAGGATGAGGCCACTGCTCTGAGCAAGCACCCTGGTTTCCACAGGTGAAAGCAAGGCCCACTCGTCTCATTACCTGCAGCCCCTTTAACACTGCAACCTGGACCCTCAAAGTCTCCTGGGTAATTCAGACACACAAACAGCTCAGTTTCTGGTGATCCCTAAACCTGTTTTCAAATCCAAAGGGAAGAACCTCTGGCAAATAAGGCATGGGTGTGGCAACCCTTTATATTCTGACCCCAGAGCCACACTCTCTTGCTGAAGGTCTTGGCAAGTCACATGACCTCTCTCAGACTCACTTTCTTATGTGTAAAACGGGCTAAGACAGGCTGTGCAGGCTAAGACAGGCTGTGCATGTGCTGTCAGAGGAGTTCAGGACAGCCCATGAATGGGATTAGCAAAGCACCTGTTTACATGCTAAAAAGGGGCTCCAAATGCTACAATTACAACTGCACTATTATTATTAGAATTCTGCTCTGTACTCTCCCCTCCCTATTACCACAGGCTACTTTGGCAAGCTCTCTCTCCCCAGCCCCATGTCTCTTGCCTATGTTCCTAACACTCAGTTAGTATTACACTTTGGACAAATTCTGTCTATTGCTATTTGCTTAAAATTTCCATATAAAAATCTTATCTTGATAGTGGGTCAAAAACTCCTCCAAAACAGGTAGGGGTGGAATAATGATGGTCTTCAGCTATCTGCTCAGAAACTTCCAGAGCCCTGGTCCAGGCTCTGGGCACACAGGTGAGCACCCCAATCACTGAAAATCTATACTCAGGATTGTCCCATGTGACTTCTACGCTTGGATGCTGGGCACTGAAAGGGGACTGTGTAACTAGTGGTCTTTGAGATGATGAGACCCACACATTTTGCCAGATTTACCACAAACCTTCAGATGCATATCTAGATGGTACTGTCTTCTTTCCCTTGGGCAAGACATGTCTTTCTCTTTCCCAGAGACTCCCTGGGTCCAAAATACCTCCCCAGCTTTTTACATAGAACACATGGTAAGTAATCTGGTCTCTTCATGGAATCCAATAAGAGTTTTTTCTTTTTTGATAGACGAGATAGAGAAGGGTGGAGGGAAAGGGTTGTAACTGCCCAGACACTATATGATTTCTGAAATTGCCCTGAAAGTGCAGAGATCCTGTGAAAACCTCACACTGTTCCTGGGGATTAGCTATTTGGTCTCCTATAACAAGAAACAAGGAAGGCATATTGCGCCCCATAGACACAGGCATCCCACACCAGCCCGAAGCTGAGAGTGCACACTTCCAGTCATTGTCCAGAGGGCACATCAACTCTGCAAGACAGCTCCTTGTCACCCTCCCGATTTTCTCCCACAATAGATACAAAAGTGTATGGAAGAAGAAAGAGAATTTTTTTGTTCAATCTTCTTCACATGCCTCCTGATTCTTCTCCTTTTTTTTTTTTTTTTTTTTTTTTTTGGTGATGGAAATAACAACATGAAGCTTAAAAATGGCAAAAAATCAGAGGCAGGGCGCATCATACCGAAAGCATATAGTTTTATTAAATTCAAACGTTCTTCAGAGATTATGTGATTTGAAAACATAAACTGCAAGTGCATTGTAATGAAGAAAGTCGGTCCTGTAAATACACACTAAAGTGTCAGAATAAATGTCTCTGCTGTGATCAAATATCACACATTTGTCTCAAAAAAAGGCAGCAAATGGTGCTCTTTGCCGCCCCCTAGTGGTTGTAAGGGGAAAGAAGCGGAAACAAGGGGGATTCACTTCAGAGAATCTATAAACTTTTTATACTCGGAAGACAAATGACTGGTTTTAACCGTGAAATGGATATGTTCTAAGTGGGGGAGATGAAGGATGTTGGTTAAAATGCACATAATTATTCACATAAAGTGAATCATTGATAGCCTTATTTTTCTCTTCCTCGCTCTCTCATCTTTCCACCCTGACATGAGAACTCAGCAATGTGTTATGCACACCAGGTTTTCTTCCCAAATGACTTCTTCCCTGATTTTCACTTGCTGTGAACCTCCTCCCCTGTTTGTAGACATCTGCTTATAAATATGTCACTTGCTCTGCTATAAAGAAATAGAAAAATCTTCCCCTCAGAATGTAATTTGCCTGCTTAACAAAGTATCTATACTAAGGAACCAAGGCAAAGGGTTGGGAAGTTCTTTCTTTTATTATTCTTGTTTTCACGGAAACAGTCTCTTAGCTTGATTCCTTCATCTCAGTGTCACCTTTACCTATGTTTAAGACGTTTCATTTTTCTGGAATGAGTTTGTCTTTGCAGAAGAAAAACTGTCAAAGATACACAGGGAAGGGGGGGCGGTTAGAAAGAAATAGGGAGCCTGCTAATAAGCTTTTTTTTTCGAAATCATGTCATAAAAAATTTAAAGATTACAAATAAACAGAAACTCTCCTATTTTCAAATTCATTACTCTCAAACTATAGGAGAAGCAGTTCCCAAAGCTCAGACAAGACGCACCATCTGCCTCTGGATCTCTCCATCCGCCAAGAGTAATTCCACCTGATACGCATTCCCTTCTCTGAGCCACTGGTACACTATAGTTCAAAGCCAGCCTCTAGATCAGGTTGTCTCTTAATAGAGAGCCTCTTTTCCAGCTGGTGCAAAGCCCTCCGCCCTAAGGTGACCGCCAGGCAAGATTCCAAGGGTCATGTACCCTCTTCTTTGTCAACGGGCAAATTTGGCCACAGCCCGCAAGCCAAACGCACGCCCTCGTCGACAGCGCAGAGAATCAACAAGTTATCATTAAGCTGAGCGCTCTAGCCTGGATCTGCCACAGCCTCCCCTGCGCCCACCTGCACCCACCCTCACGCGGCCCTGCTTTTCTGATGTCTCCACACTGCCTGCGAGCACGTGACCTTCAGTTTCAGACCCGCCCTCCCGGCGCCCCTACCCGATGCTCCGAAGCAGCAAAGTACAGGGCTCGCCAGCTCCCAGGCTCGCCTGACGTCTCCAGGCGTTCACCGGGCTCCAGCTTCCTTCCGGGCTGGAGAGGTGGGGAGGTCAACATCTTCAGAACAACTGGATGAGCGAGGGAGGGGTACCAGATTCGGCGCCTTGGACCTCGGGAGCCCAAGCAGAGTCGGAGAAACTGGGGAGCATCACAACGCGCACTTCTTCGGGACTCTGCCGCCCACCCGGAGGGCGCGCATTCCCAGGGGAGCCAGGGCCGCCCTGGGGGACCACGCGGAGTGCCACGGGGCCTTCCCTGGAGCCTCCAAGTTTCCACTCCATCCTCGACCTGGGAGACCAGTCACAGCTCAGCTTCCTTTAAAGACACCGCCGCGGGTCCTTCCCCCGGGGCAGGAGCAGACACCTGCTTCTCCCCGCGGCAGCGCCAGCGCCCTGCTGAAGCCATCCCTGGGCCGGAGCCCGCGACGCTCCCACCCTGGCACAGACCGCCCCCAAAGTTGTCTGGACTCCCCAGACCTCGCCTGCTCCTTGGCTTCAGGACCCCACCCAGGGATGGGGTCGGCGCCCGCGGGCGGGCGGAACCTCCCTGGTCCGCTGCATAGGGCGCTGACTTCGGGAATTGCGGGCGCACAGAAGCCGGAGAAGCTGCGGTAAAGGACCGTGGGCAAATCCAGCGTGAGCCGAGTCCCCGCCGTTTGCACCCTCGAGCCTGCCCAGCCTCCCTGCTAGGAGAGGAGAAAACTTCCCCAGCACCCACCTTTAGCCGCGAGGAGGCGGCGCCGCCGGCTGCCCCCGCTGCTGCCGTTGCCGCTGCCGCTCCCCACGCCCAGCGCCAGCAGGAGCGGCACCCAGCACAGCCTCCCAGGCAGCATCCTCGCCGCCGATGCCGCCAACAAGCTGCCGCCGCCGCCTACTGCCCGCGCCGGCTCTGGCCTCCCGGTGTCCGCCGCGTCGCAGGCCGCCTCGCGGTGCCCGCTGGGTGCGCTTCAGGCGCCGCCGCCGCCGCCGCCGCCGCGCTCGGCCTCCGGTGCCCTCCGCCGCGCCGCTCGCTCGCCAGCAGCAGCCGCGCTCACTGGCGCGGACCCGGAGCGGCTCTGGCGCTCACCCCGGGACGGCCCGTGACGTCACGGAGGGAGGGAGGTGGCTCGTGCATATTCATGAGACGCGGACACAGGCCCTGGGTTCCGCGCTCCCAGCCTGGCGGCTTTGGCCCCCAACTTTCCTCCCGCGGACCCCACACTGGGCACTCGCGTTCTCCTGCCTCCGTCAGGAGCCAGCACCCAAAAGACTCTGGTGGGCGACTCCCCGGAGCCCTCTGGCTCGGCGTCCCCAGTCAGGTTCTCCAAACAGCTGCTGCCAGGAATGATGGGCTCCCCTAGAAAGTGATTGCCTGGCGCCTGGGGGTCGCCTGCAGGTCGCCTGCAGGGGCCCAGGGGCCCTGCCCTGCCATCCCTTTTGAATTGACGTCTGGGCGGAGTGGCCCGGCGGGCGTCGCTGCGGGTCCTGCCCTTGGCTGGGTCTCTGGACGCTCTACGCTGCCTGGTCTGGGGAGGGCGCCAGCCGCACACCAGAACCGAAAAACTTAACTGCTGCTTGGACTTGCAGGGTCCATTGCCTTGGACCTGGGTGGCTGCAGTCGGGCTCTGTACCATCTCGGAGAAGCAGGAGCAGCAGTGGTTCTCAGAAGCTGATGAACTCGCTGAATCAGAAAAGACAAACTTGGGTCTGCAGTGCGGATCACACTTAAACTTCTCTGCAAGAAGTTACCACTTTATGTTGTCACTTTGGATCTCTAAGCAGACCACCTGACCTCATGCCTTATAAAACACAGGCTAGGTAGAACTGTCAGATCCCTGAGCACAGGGACCATACACACCTAGACATCCTCAACCACACGTAGGACTCTAAAGGATCCCAAAGGTACTTAATAGACAACAATCAATGGCTCAGAAGAAACCCCAACCCTATTTCCATACATGCCACCATTCAAGGTCCATAAGAAGTACTTTGGAAATAAAGTAGGTAGGGAAACATAGAAGCAAACAAAATCATTTATTTATTCATTGATTCAAGACATTTCCTGAACACCCAGACAGGTTGTGTCACTCTTCCAGGGAACACTGGACTGGGCACTGGAGGGCCTCAAAGCCTTTCTCCCTGAAGAGGGAGAAAGAAAAGTTAGTAAAGTGATTACAGTCCCTTTGTACGAGTTATAGTCCTTCATATTCTTTTAGTTTCTTGGTATGAGCCTATACAAATCAATTAACACAATGTACATATTTCAACAGTGACTAAACCACATCTTATAATTAATAAGTAAAGTTTGGGGTACTCAAAAAGCCATAAAATCTATTAACAGCCCTGTGTTACTCAGCCCTCCTGCACCCCTCTGGCAGAGCACTGATAGTCAAATCTCTTATCATTTTTCCATCACCCAAGAGATGCTTGAGGACAGCCTTGACTCCTCACAGTGCATGGGGCTCTGACCAGGCTGCACTTTTCACTGCAGGTCCTCTTTAAGGCACAAATCAGCACCTGTTAGGAACAACAAATTAGGAAGCGTCTCAGGCCAACACCACACACCAAGACCTGGCATTTCTTAGATTTGAGTATCAAATTCCAGGAAGAGTGTCATAGAAAGGTGCAAGCTGACCCAGGCAAAATCAGGGAAGCCAACATGCAGAGGATAAATATAAATGTTAACTCACCTCCTTCCATTTAAACTACATTCAGCTACATATCTGTTCTCTCTTGATTTTCTCTAAGTAGTAAGACCTACCTTATCTATTTACCTTCGCTGTCCCATGATGTCATTATACTTGGTATTGTTAAGATCACTTGGTTGATCCCAAGTATTTTACATGAAATTTCAAGTTCATGCATGAGAAAGATTGGGGAGATAGAACTGATTAGAAAACATCTCCAAGCAGGAGGTCACTGGGAAAGAAGACAGCAAAAAGAAACAGGCCCCTGACCAACAGCATGACTTTGCAAGCCTCCATCTCCTTGCCTACAATCATAAGGAAGAACAATGCTTATTATAACAGTGAAAGTGCCCTACTGGCCCCATTTGTTCATGCATCTATTTCCAGTAGAAGTGCCCTCCTGCTCAGAGCTTGGCAAAATATGATTCACTTTGGCCCAGGGGACAGTAGCATGTATGTTTTCCTCTCTTTCCTGGACTCCTGCTATTGCTATGAGAAGAAACAAAACAAAACAACCCTGTAGGAGGGTAAGAAACCACTTGGAGTCGAACTGTCCTGGCCAGTCATGGCCACTCTAACCTGGTTAGTGCCCTATGACCCAGCAACCCATCAAAGACACATAAGCAAACCCAAGCAAGATCAGCCAACTCTGGTCCATATCAGAACTGCCCAGTTGACTCATGAGAAATAATGAATGAATATTTCATTTAGCCACTGTGTTTTGGAGCAATTGACTAAGTCGTATGATGTTTATGGGTAAGGTCATCGTATAAGAAGAAAAGGAAAAAATGTATATGAAACAGTCAGTTGTGCACAATGTTTGATAAATGTAAAAATGTCCTCCTCTTATCTTACTTCACAAGTTTCTGAAATACCAGTCACAACCTTGATTTGGTTCACTTGAGGAATGACACAAGAGCTTCAGGTCCACATCATTTATACGGAGCACTGTTGTGCTGTCTGCTTTTTTGCACTATTGCATATGTGAAAATTGGTGGGGGTTTTGCTTGCTTGTTTTGATTTTGTGTGTGTATTTTACTGCTGTTGTTTTGGCAGTACTGAAGACTGAACCCAGTGCTTCATGCATTGGAGGCCAACCATCTACCACTAAGCTACACCCCCAACCCAGATGCAAAAAATTAGACCAAGTAACCCAGAAGTTAAAGGATCCCCATTTACTTAGTGCCAGACCTGGCAACAAGGATCATATATTCCATATCTCCTTTAATTCTTGCAACACCAGGTGCTATTTTTTCCAATTTTATTATAATCAGACCACTGGCCCGTGAAGTTTGAGGAACTTATCCACATTCACATAATTGTGCAAAACATCAATTCACATCAGCCAAACTCCGTCTTTCTCCCATATATGATGGTTTGGGGAGTGGCATAAAGGATAAGCAACAGATAAACAACAAAAAGTATTTTCAAATCAGAAAAGGTAGCTTAAGGTATTTGATTTTTAAAAAACTTTTTAGCCTTCATAGCCTCTGAGCAATGACCCTTTAAATGTACAATTATCACCAACACAGTGATAGAATTCTCTAAATTCTTGGAGTCTGCACTGCTTATGTTTATTCTTGACTTGTTCTTGGGGCACATTTCTTTAAAGGTCTTGCTCAAGAAACTAGAGATCAGAATGATGTTAGGACCGGTCACTATAAGCTCCAAGTCCAAGGTCCCACCTGCAAGGTAATAATGACTCCCAGGAAATTAATCTAGGTCAATACTTTTTAATAAGTAAATAACTCCTTCTTTCTAGACAATAGAATCGTGATTCTGCAATCTGTATATGGGGTAAAAATGGGAGCTCATAACCCACTTGAATCAAATTGTGAAATATGATATATCAAGAACTATGTAATGTTTTGAACAGCCAACAATAAAAAATTAAAAAAAAAAGAATCTAATGAACAGGCCTCACGCAAACACAACCATTCTCTTTCATTTTCACATGGGTCATTAATACCTGATTGAGCAACAAAACACAGCCCCTAAGTAATTTAAGCTGGATAAATGAAGAAAATAAATAAATTACACCTACTTATGGAAACTTATTTTTAAAAAGAAAATCAAACTGAGACTTTCTACATGTGACCCAAATTTAATTCAACTGAGAGCACTTAACTTTAAAAAGGAAGGTTGAAAAGCTGATCTTTAAACAAATGGATCCATTTGTTCTTCCCCTTCACCATCTCTGCTGCTATCACTGGGTCATCATGACCCCCAAGTGACTGGGTAGGTTACAGAATTTTCAACATTGCTCTCAGAAGTTTGGTGCTAGGACAGAAATGTGGCTGCTGCTGCAGGAACTTGCTGTCACTTTTGTAGGTTGAGGCCTTCTGTTAAGGAAGGAGCAAGGAAAGCTTGCTCACAATCAAATCCAGTTCATGTTCAGCATTATTTGGGCCTGAGTATTTTAAGCTCAGCAAGAAAGAAAAATAACAAACATGTCATTAATTGCAGCAAGACATTTTTTCTTAAACACTTCCATGTATTTTTCTTGTACCTTTACACCCTGGTGGTTATTATAATAAAATTCAGTGACAATTCTCCCATTACAAGATGGAATCTCTCCTCTCCTTGAATCTGAGCAGCCTTGAATCTGAATGTTGCTTCTACCAGTAGACTTCAGTCAGCGAGGCTACGTGTCTTCTCAGATAGATCATTATGGCAATGTAGCTTCTGCCCTGTTTACTAGGATGCTCACATTTGAAAGTTGGATATTCTATGGAAAAGTGCAGCTATGTAAGGCTGCTATGTTGGAAAGATCATAAGCTACCTGGAAAAACTAACTGTAGGTATGATTGACAGCCCCAGCTAAATCCAACATTTGAGTCATCCCAGAATCTCCAGATAATCCCATTTTGCTGGCTGAGGAGTCACCTCCCTCCCAGCTGTTTGGATCTTCCCAGATGAAGCCTTGGACATTCTGGAACAAAGTCAAGCCATTTCCAAATTTGTGACCCACAGAATCCATGAGTGTAATCAAGTGGTTGTTTACACCATTAAGGTTTGGGGATGGTTTACAATTGCATCAAGATTAACTAGAACATCTTTCTTCTCATTTGTTTCCTGCAACACAGACTTGGGAAAAGAAGGTAGTATTTGATAAGTCATGTGTAATTAGTACCATCTGTACCTCAAATGTTGAGACTTGTCGTGGCCAAGAAATGGAGGCAGTAGGGCCGAGTGGAAAAAGATCACTTCTAGAATCAGGCTAAGGATGCAAACCCAGCTCTTATATTTTCCACTTATGTATGTCTTGAAAAAGTTTCTTACTTGGTTTGAATCTGTTCCTTCTCTACAATCTGGGAGCAAGGAAGCAAAGTTGCTTTTAGAGTTAAATGAAATGGAAAGAGCCACATC